CAGCAGTGTGATATTGCTAAGAGTAGCAAATAGTCCCATAATTTAACTGGTCAAGACTATAAAATCTCTAGTCTGTCTGCTGAAAGACCCACTTTTCTAGTTTCACTGGTCAAGGATGGCAGGGCCACCTTAAGTCATACTGAATAGATGGGCAGAATACTTAGTATGTTTATGAGAAAGTGAATTTTTCCTGCCTGGAATCCTGCCTCCTAGCGCAGAGCATCTCTACCCAGTGACATGTAGATCTCTGTAAGGGCTTCCCCTAGCATCTCTTTTCTTTTTCTTTTTGGTCTTTTTGGGACAGGGTCTCCCTGTAACCCCAGTTGGCCTGGAACTCACAGAGATCCACCTGCCTTTGCCTCCCAAGTGCTAGGATTAAAAGCGTCCACCCACCACGCCCTGCTGCATGGTTCACCTCAGAAATCCCAGGCTCTGTCCCAGTCCTAACCCTTTCTTGTCCTCAGCCCCCCCCACCCCCCACTGACACTCTTGTCCTGTATTTCTATGAGTCCCCAGGGTCTTCCTTCAGACCCACTGTCTGACCTCCAGGCAGGCTCTAAACTTGCATAGCTTCATGGCTTTCTTTCCTTCTCCCCACCATGCTCCTCCTCAAGGCAGCTGCCAAGATTACCAGCTTGCCTGCCCTGAGGATTTTTCTTTAAAATTCTAATGACATTAAAGCTTCCATTTCTGTCCATTCTTGAATTTTTTTATGAATGAGACTAAGAACCCTCTAGGGGATGCTCTTTCTCCCCATTTCAGTATCTTCAGAAAATACAATTTTGACTGGATAGTCAAGGTCTTCAATGAGGACAATCAGTCAAACTAAAGAGAACAGTCAGGCCATCAGTCAGTCACTTGCTACTGCTTCAGGATGGAGATGAGACAGTGGGTCTGAAGGAAGACCCTGGGGACTCACAGAAGTACAGGACAAGAGTGTCAGTGGGGGGCAGGGAGGTGCTGAGGACAAGAAAGGGTTAGGCCTGGGACAGAGCCTGGGATTTCTGAGGTGAACCAACCCTTGCTTAGTATGAGGACCAAAGGATGGTAGGATAGGAAGAGCACTGAGAAGAGGGAAGTTAAGGATACAGAGCAATGATTTCTTTCCAAATGGAATCATTCAAGGTGATGGCAGATGACAATGACAATGGGCATAAGAGGGTGGCACAAGCCAGTGTCAGGGGAAGAGTGTATCTGCAGAAACATGAAGACAACAGCTGAAGGCAGAGGGAGAGAACATTACCAAGTCCACCCTATCAGGCAGGAAGGTGTCAGGAGCCAGGAAGCTAGAGAGGACAGGAGAAAGACTTACCCTTTGGAGGCGGGAGCTCTGAAACAAGCCCAAGGCATAGGACCTCATTTTTAAAACAGAACAGTTTCCAGAGAAAAGACTGGGAAAGGTTGGAAGGAGATCAAAGCCCCTGTAGAGACATGATCTGGGGTGCTAGGCAGTGGGAGAATCAAGTAAAACCCCATTTTCAGTGCCCATCAAGGCCAGACCTGGCTGATCTCCACAGGCAGTGCCACACAGCCATTTGATGCCAAGTGTATGAGCTTTCTGTTTAAAGTGCTGATTGTGTTTAAATTTTTTAGAGAATATGTTTGCATATCTGGCAAATTTTCTTTGTTTTTTTAAGACAGGGTCTCACATATATGTGTGTGTTTATTTGTGTGCACATGAGTGAGTGCAGGTGCCCTCAGAGACCAAAGGCACCGAACCCCCCAGGAGCTGGAGTTACAGCCCTACACAGTTGCTGGGAACTGAATTCATTTCCTCTAAAAGAGCAACAAGTGTTCTTAACGGCTGAGTCATGTCTCCAGCCCTAAAGCAGAGTTGGGTTTTTTGTTGGTTTTAGACAAGTCTCTTCCTATAGCCCCCGCTTACCTGGAACTCACTAAGTGGACCCTACTGTCCTCAATCTCACAGAGATCTGAGATCTACCCGCATCTGCTTCCTGAGTGATGATGGGATTAAAGGCACACACCATTACACCTACCTGAAGCAAAGTTTTATTTTTATTTATTTATTTTATTTTATTTGGTCTTTTTGAGACAGGGTCTCCCTGTAGCCCCAGCTGGCCTAGAACTCACTATGTTGACCAGGCTAGCCTCAAACTCAAAGAGATCCACCTGACTCAGCCTCCCAAGTGCTCGGATTAAAGGTGTGTGCCACCAAGACTGGTTCCTAAAGCAAAGTTTTAATCAAGAGCAAAAAGATTTTTTTTTTATTTCAGTGGAACACAGTGATTAAATATTTATTGTTCTTTAAGATCAGAAATGTTGTCTGAATGTATTAGAAAGATTTTAAAAGCTCATTTACTTTACTAATCCCAAAGGACTGCACCTCAGCCCAGAAAATAATGCTCTGGGGAAGCAAATTCTATCTCAACAAGGGGGTGGTGACAGGACAACCTTAAGTAGTAATTTTTTTTTCTACTATCTGATACACTTTAGTTGAGGACATATTTACTGATGTTCAGCTGGAAGCTTAAAAGTCATCTACAACTGCCAGTGATTCTGTATCTAACCAGGTACAATAATCTTCAAATAACTTAATCCACCATTTTCATCATTTTGATACCTTTCCTCAAGTTGTTTTGTAAATGTATATTTTTTAAAAAGCACAGGTTGTCCCTGGCTAGTCATTGGCACTGCTTATGGGCAGAGCCTGGACAGAGTGAAAAAATGCTTAGAGCTGTTATTCACATAGACACCACTGAGTTTATGTAAGTATGATGTGATGGAAACATCTGTTACCTTTTGACCAGGGCTAATTAAATCTCACTTGGCAAACAGGTTAGTTTCGCCTTTCTTGCTTATATATCTGACATGTGTCTCTTCCTAAACTATAGGACATAGTAAGTTTTAGCCCAGTACTTGTTTCAGATAAACTTTGCACTTTAGTCATTTAAGAAATGAGCTCACTCAGTGACAGATGCCATGCTCTTATACAAGATCTCACTGAATCTTCACGACCGTCTATGTAATAAAAAATATGACTTACTTTCTAAGTCAATTAGAATGATTCCCTTTGGACTAAACATTTTATCAATTTTTATTTTATGTGTATGAGTGTACTGCCTGCATGTATGTAAGTGCACCCATGTTGTGCAGTGCCTGAAGAGGGCCGAAGAGGGCGTCGGATCCCCTGGAACTTGAGTTATGGATGTTAGCTGCCATATGGGTGATGGGATTCAAACCAGGTCCTCTGCAAGATCAGCCAGTACTCTTAACTGCTAAGACATCTCTCCAGCCCAGGACTAAACATTTTAAACAACTGATAACTAAATAAAAGATTAATTATTTTGGATTAACTGAATAGAAATGCCAATCTATTCCACTAAATCTTTAACTGAATCTACTCCACACAATTAAATAGTATAAGAAGTTAGTATGGCCGTTCCAATTATTTATCCCTTCCTGAAAGATGTACTAATATGTCCCAAAAATGGACAAAAGAAGAATGGCAGAAAGAAGGAAAACAAGACCCATGGGAAATGATGAAGCCAGTTCTGGAGTATTTATTCCACATGGAAGGAAGCTTTACAAAAATTTGTTGTATCAAGAAGAGTCATGTTACTATATTTCAGAAGAACAGATGTGATAGAGCATGTCTGTAAGCGAAAAGCTGGTGCAAGAGGATGCAAGAGGCTGATGAGTCCAATGCCAGCCTGGGATATACAGGGATACCCTGTCTTAAAAAAGGAAAAGGAGCCAAGCATGGTAACTCATGCCTTAAATTCCAGCACTTGGGAGGTAGAGGCAAATGGAGCCCTATAAGTTTGAGGCCAGCCTGGTCTACATAGTGAGTTCCAGGTGAGCCAAGGCTACATAGTGAGACCCTGTCTAAAAACATTATGAAGTTCCACAGATGGTCAAGAGTAGAGAATAAGTGTCTGTGAGGTGCCCAGCTCTAAGTAACACACACATCTACAATGCAACCTCTACACCTAAGACTCAGGGAACATAGTGGAACAGAGGGCAGAGAGAATATTAATGCATCTCTTAACTCTCACTAGCAAAGGTTCCTCGTGTAACAGATGGTGATTAACTCAGAAAGCCACATCTGGCCAAAGTGCACAGAATAAGACTGCAGAGTACTTAACCCTGAATAGGATATGTATATCAAACCTCTGTCACCCAAGATTCAGAGACCATTGTAGAACAGGGGTTAGAAAGACTGTAAGAATGATGACAACAAGGAAATGGGAGTTTTCCAGACAGCTTGGAGGTTTCCTATATGAACTTATAGCAATGCTGACAGCATACACAAGACCCAAGCAACCACAAACCAGACCAATTCCCAGCAATGAGATTTCCCAGAGGTGGGGAAGTGGGTAAGAAGCCCCAACCTTAGCTGAGGAACTACCAGCAACCAATAACTACTGTGAGAGGAATAAATGTTTTCCTTTAAGGGTGTGACACTAGATAGGTGAACCAGGCTCCAGTGGATGGATGTACAACCAAGGACACTTAAGGACACAAAATTGGCTCAAAAGGCCTTAATGTATGTGACAGAGTACATGAAAACTGACAGGGGAGCTGTAGGAGGGTGCAGATAGAGGAGGTGTTCTAAGTATAACCAAAATGTATTGCATGAAACTCGCAAAAATTCAATTAAAAAAAACTTTTTTTTAAAAAAAAGGAAAAGCAGGGGCTAGAGAGATGGCTCAGTGGTCAAGAGCACTGGCTGCTCTTGCAGAGGACCCAGGCTCAATTCCCAGCACCCACATGGCAGCTAACAACTGTGAGTAACTCCAGCTCCAGATCTGAAGTCCTCTTCTGGCATTTTCAGGTATTGCACAATACAGGTACACCTACCTATAAGCATGCAACACACTCATCCATATAAAATTAAAATAATATCTTTTTTAAAAAGGAAACACAAGACAGCAACAACGATACCAAAATAATCCCAAAACAAAGAATACAATGTACAATGTTAAGAATTGAGGCTTTTCTATTACAATGCCTATAAATAGCAACACAGTTGTACTTACCTCCTTTGCACTCTTAATTTTGGTCAGAAATGTGTGCAGCTCCATGGTTTCTGCAAACAGTGCACGGCATACTGCCTGATAATGATTTGGTGCCTCTGACTCAGCTGGGAGATGAGCAGCACATATCTATAGAAGGAAAAATAATGGGAGCTTGGTTATTACTGGCATTTGGGGTACCATCAAAGCAGACACACTCAGTCTCTCTGCATTTTCCTATCAGATGGAAGGTAATTTTCTTCATCTGAGGCTTAATGTACACAAAGTCTACACAATTCTATGGGAAAAGTGGTCCACTAACAGATACTTAACAGCACAGATGCACTGAGTAGAATTAGCTTCTGCGTGAAAATGATGGGACATGCACAGAAGTTTTGGTTGAGAGTGAAAAGGGAACACCATTTCCTGAGTACTGATGATAATGCATGTATTTTACCAGCTACCATTTACTAAGCAGGTACCATGCCAGGTACTGACAGCTGACATGTCCTATACATAGAATAATACCACGTACTCTCCAATCTAACCCTGAATCCACCACATTTTTTAGCAAAAGAAACTAAGGCTAAGAGAAGTCAGGCAACTTGTCCACAGTTGCAGTTACCCCAAGGAGAATCCAAACATAGTTCTACTAGGTCCTGAAGCCTACATTCATTCCACTGTGCAGCAAGGGGAAGTGGATAATGGAGGAACGGGCAGCGAGCACACTGAGCCTCCTGGTGCTGCCTGTGGTCTTGATGCCCTCAACTGGACAATCCCACAGTCCAATAAGATGACTGTGGGAAAAAGAAGCAACTTGACATGATGCCAAGCAATTCAGAAAAAACAAACACATTTATTTACTGGATTACAAAGATGTTCTCTTAAAAGCCCATGGAATATTGCTATATTTCTATAAAATAATTATGTATCTATGTTTAATATCTATGTTTTTTAAATTTTTATTGAATTTTTGTGTATTTCATACATAAAATCATCTTTATACCCTTTTCCCCCTTTGGTCCTCTCCCATTGCCACCCCCCAACCAGAGTTCATACATTCTGTCATTTGTCTATCATGTCAAGTTAGTGTCCCCAGACATCCCTCAATACAAGTTGATCCACTGGGATTTAGTCAGCCTATCTAGGGTCCCTCCCATTAAGATGATCAGCTCTTCCTGACCCAGCAGTAATCAGCTGCCAATAATTCTTTGAATAAGATTGGGGCCTGCTGCGCCCCAATGGCACAGCTCTGCTTAAGTCTGCATGGGTCTTGTGCATGCTGACACCATTGCTGTAGGTTTGTATGAGAAGGGTCCCAGAAGCCTGTAGGACTATTTCCGTATGGTCCTGCACCTCCTCCCTGGCTCTAACACTCTTTCCACCCCTCTTCTGCAATGGTCCCTGAGCTCTGGATGGGTGGATTTTAATACAGGAGTTCTGTCCAAGGACCCAGATCCTTATTCTGTGTTTTGGCCATTTGTGACCTTCTGCGTTCCTGGCCCTATGTTGCTTGAGGGAGCTTCATTGATGAGAGTTGAAAGATGCATTAGTGTTCTCTTCATCCCTTCTTCTATGTTCTGTGAGCCTTAGGTATAGAGGTTGCATGCTAAATGTGCCACATAGACTTGGACAATTCACAATCTTTGTGTGTGGCCAGTTGTGGAACTCTGTAATTATCTCAGTCTCTTGAAAAAGAAGTTTCTTTGATGAGTGGTATCAGGGATAACTGTCTATAAATTTAAGGCTCCATATTTTGTACATAGTTTGAAATTACATTTGTCTAGAGATGTGATACCTTGGAGTTTTCTTCAAGATGCATGACCTCTCCAGCTATGTGCATCATGCTACACTTAACAGTACCACACAAGTTTCCTCCCATTGAGTGGGCTTTAATGTACCACTACTGCAGCAGTGTCGCTTGCTGTGCTGGTCATTGTTTTTAGGTCGTGAAGCTGGGGTTGGACCACTGATTGATGTTCTCCCTTAGCAGCTTGCATGGTATTCTCCAAAGCTATGAGCACTAGCCTTCAAGGGAGGTGGCTTCCAGGTCAGTCCCAGCTCCACTGCTCCAAATCCTGTATCCAAAGTATGTCCTGTCTTCAGCAATAGGGTCTTACCTTCAAGCTCTGGGAGGCATTCAAGGTTGTGGCAATAGCCTGTATACTTTTGGAAGTTTCCCAATAACTCAAAGGAGGCTTCTCCTGCCTGGAACTGCTTGTTATGTAGCCTTAAGCTACATTCACAAACTCATGTAGGGATATTGTATGTGTAATTTTTCAGTAGGTTTTAGGACTAATGCAATTCCCTGTTTTTTTATACTAGTTAGGCACTATTTATCTCTCTTCTTTCTCTCCCTTCTTATCCTCTCTCCTCACCCTCCCCATTTAAAGTGTTCCCATTTTCCCCATTTCTCCCTTAATAGTTTCTGTATGCTGTGGTCCCATCTTGAGCTCCTTCTTCCCCTTTATTCTCATAGTTCTCTGTATAGCTCTTCTTCTCCATCTCCCCTTTAACTGCCCCCCTTTTACATATTTCTCCCTTAGTAACACCTGTCTCCTACTATTCTTCTTCCTTAGATCCCTTCTTTCCCTTTACCTTCCTGGTTCCCTTCCATTTTCCTAGTTCCTGCAGTTATATCAGGATATGTACTCACTTAAAAGGATTTGGTGCTAGGATCCACAAATGAGAATATATGTCTTTTGATTTTCTGAGTCTGTGTTACTTCACTTAGTATAATAGTTTCTAGATATATCCATTTACTTGTAAATTTCATTATTTCATCTTTCTTTACTGCTGTGTAGAACTCCATTGTGTAAATATACTACAGGTTGCTTCCATCTCTTAGCTATTGTGAAAAAAGCAGCAACAAACATGGTTGTACCAGTGTCTCTACAATAGGATGAGTCCTTTGGGTATATGCCAAGGAGTGGTATAACTGGGTCATATGGTAGGTTTATTTTTAGTTTTTTAAGAGTTCTCCACACTGTTTTCCATAGAGGCTGCACGAGTTTGCAATCCCACCAGCAGTGAATGAGCATTCCTCTTTCTCCAGATCCTCGCCAGTATTTGGTATCATTTGTTCTCTTGATCTTAGCCAGTCTGACTGGGGTAAGGTGATACCTTAGGGTGGTTTTAATTTACATTTCCCTAATTACTAATGATGTTGAACACTTTTTTTTTTTTTTTTGTCTTTTTGAGACAGGGTCTTCCTGTAGTCCCTGTAGCCCCAGCTGGCCTGGAACTCACTATATAGACTAGCCTGGCCTAGAACTCACAGAGATCCACCTGCCTCTGCCTCCCAAGTGCTGGAACTAAAGCCATGCGCCATCATGCCCAGCTGATATTCAACACTTTTTAAGATATTTCTTAGCCATATATATTTCTTCCTTTGAGAATTCTGTTTAGACCTTTGACACATATTTTAATTGGGTCATCTGTTTTTGTTTTGGGGGGTTTTTTGATTCTTTGTTTTTTGAGTTCTTTATATATTTTGCATATTAAACCTCTGTCACTGGTGAAGATTTTTTTTTTCCCACTCTGGGTTTTCTCTTCACTTTCTGGATTATTTCTTTTGCTGGACAGAAGCTTTTAGTTTAATGAAGTCCCACTTGTTGATTGTTGACTTAATTCCTGAGCAACTGGTGTCTGATTTAGAAAGTCCTTTCTTACACATATATTTTGTAGATTACTGCCAAAGTTTTCTTCTAATAGTTTCAGAGTTTCCAGTTTCATGTTGAGGTCTCTGATCTATTTGGAGTTGACTTTTGTGCAAGATGAAAGATAAGGATCTAGTTTCATTCTTGTACAGGTGGAGATCCATTTTTGCCAGCACCATTTGTTGAAGATACCGTCTTTCCTCCATTGTGTGTCCTTGGCACCTTTGTTGAATATCAGGTGACTGAAATTTCGTGTACTCAGGCTTGGATCTTCAATTATATTCCATTCATCTATGTATCTATTTTTGTGCCAGTACCATGCTGTTTTATGACTATAGTTCTATAATATACTTTGAGATCTGGTATAGCAATCCCTGCTGCATTGCTCTTTGTGCTCAGGGTTACTTTGGCTATCCGGAGTCTTTTGTGCTTTCATATGAATTTAAGCATCTTTTTTCTAATTATGTGAAGTATGTTATGGGGATTTTGATTGGTACTGCATTGAATCTATCAATGGCTTTTGGTAGGATGGTCATTTTCACAATATTAATTCTTCCAATCCATGAGCATGGGAGGTCCTTCCATCTTCTGGTGTCTTCCTCAATCTCTTTAAAATTTTCATTGTAGAGATCTTTGATGTCTTTGGTCAGTTTTATTCCAAGATTTTTTTTTTAAGGCTATTGTGAATGGGAGGGTTTCCCTGTACTCTTTCTCTGATTGCTTGTTATTGGTGTATAGAAAGGCTACTGATTTTTGTAGATTGATTTTATAACCTGCCACTATACTGAAAGTGTTGATTGGTTCTAGAAGTTTTCTGGTGGAATTTTGGGGATCTCTTAGTTACAGCATCTTATCATCTGCAAAAAGGGATTGACCTCTTCCTTTCCAATTAGTGCTCTTCTAATTTCATTCACTTGTCTTACTGCTCTAGCAAGAGTTTCAAGCACTATATTGAAAAGGAGTGGAGATAGTGACATCCTTGTCTGGTTCCTGATTTTAATGGAAATGCTTCTAGGTTTTTTTTGCCATTTAGAATGATGTTGGCTGTGGGTTTGTTTCATATAGCTTTAATTATGTTGAGGGATGTTCCCTCCAGTCCAATTCCCTTTAGGACTTTTACCATGAATGGATGTTGAATTCTGTCAAAGGCCTTTTCTGCATCTATTGAGGTGACCAAGTGGTTTTTGTCTTTGAATCCATTTATATAATTTATGATGTTTACTGACTTGTGTATATTGAACCATCCCTGCATCTCTGGAATAAAGCCTACTTGATCATGGTGAATGATCTTTTTGATATATGTCTGTATGAGATTTTAAGCATTTTGTTGAGAATTTTTGCATCAATGTTCATTAAGGATATGGGTCTATAGTTTTCTTCTTTGGTTGTATCTTTACCTGGTTTTGGTATTTCTATTGAGGTGACCATGTGGTTTTTGTCTTTGAATCCATTTATATAATTTATGATGTTTACTGACTTGTGTATATTGAA